ATTTTATATCCAATTGTGACAAAATACCTTTACATTTTAGATAATCGAATTAAATGAATATATTTTGGCACACAGCAATTTTATACCACCCAACCCCACAGCTCATCATACGCGATTATATGTAAAAAAAGCACAGACATATGTAGAGAGAGAAACGCCTTTGATTTAAAGCCCGGAGGAAAATAAAATAACCTTTAATTCTAATTTATCTTACTCAGGCAGCCAAAAACTATTTGTTGCTTTAGTAGCAACCGGTTCTTGACAGAGAATGCAAATTAATCTTCTATGTCACATATTGTTTACAGTGTGTAGTGCATGTTTATGAACTTCAGATATTTATTGAATGCTTTGTTGTTTAGGTTTTTGGATTCCAGACTATTGCTCAATCAATGCAATTGGGATGCAACAAAGCAATGCAAGTATTTTTATTGGTCATCTTCTAAATTATTTTCTGTTGGTGTAGTACTTAGTAATGAAAAAGTATGCATATTTAACAAGCTAATATTTACTGTTTTAAATTCTGGACTGGTAATTTTTAATTAATATTCTTAACACCTTAAGGACACAGCTTCAGAAGCTTGACTTACGCTTAATGACACAAGCAATTTTTGCATTTTCTTGCTGTTTGCGTTCAACTGCAATTTGCATCTCTCTCATTTATTGCACCGACACATATTATATACTGTTTTTTAAAGGACAGAAAGGGCTTTAATTTGATATAACATATATATATATATATAAATGCTTACTTATTATAAAAAAAATACAGAAAAATGCAAAAAAAATGAAAAATATTGTTTTTTTTTACAGTTTTTGCAATAATAATGTGTGCATAATTAGTGCAGGTTAAGGAAAGTAATTAAAAATAAATTTATTTATTTGTTCTGATTTACAGAATATATAATGTGTCTGGGATTTTAAGTTTTTTTTGGTAGTTACAGGTCACAAAGCACAAGGAGTAAAATAAACTTTTAATGTGGAGCGATTTTAGAATTTGGTATGTTTGTCTTGTAAGCTTAATAGCCATAAAAGAAAACAAAATTGCCACACAAAAGTATATATTTATATAAAGTAGACATCACGGGCTATTTACCTAAGGTTGTTTTGACACTTTCTACGTAGCCATTTCACCGCCAACCTCTGCTAAATATTGGAGTAAAATTGTGTTCTTTTTGGTTTTTGGCACACAAACTTATAACAGAGAAATTCTCGTGTATATTTTGTAAAGTTGGTGTGTGCTATTCCTGTACAAAGTTTTATTTTGTGTTCAGTTACATCTGCTGAGTAAAATGACACCCCCATTGTATGTCTTTTGCACTATTTCGTGAAGTTACAGTGCCATACAGGATACCTGTCCTTTTCAGTATTCACAGTAGAATTTTGAGAGATGGATTTAATGAGCCTTAGCTTCCATTTTGGGGTATTATAACAGTTTGACTGTTCAAAAAAACCCCACAAAGGCCTACCATTTGTAAAAGTAGACACTCCAGGGTATCTTATAAGGTGCATATTGTGCCTTAACATGCCCCCATTTTTTCACCAATATATGCCAAAGTATGTGGTAAAAAATAATTTTGTGCATTTTTTACATACGGATTGCATTTTTGCTGGGCGTTTTGTATATTTCATATGTGCCACTAAGTTCAAACCCCCCAAATTATGCTCAGCTAAGTCTTCTGAGTAAAATGACACCCCATATGAATGTCTTTGGCACTATTTTGTGAAGCTACAGTGCCATATAGGAGACCAAGCCATATCCGTTTTTACCAAACTTTGAATTTTGACGCTGGGCCTATGTGCAATTTCCAAGCATCTTCGCAGGTTTTAAATTCAAACTACCCCACAAAGGCCTACCATTTCTTAAAGTAGACACCCCAGGGTGTTTCAAAAGGTATAGTTTGAACCTTAGCGTGGGATCATTTTTCCGCTAGCTTGTACCAGATGTAGTGGTAATAAGCGTTTTTTCTGCCTTTTTGACATACAAAGTGAGTTTGCACAGTATATTTTGCAAACCTTATGTGTGCTACGACTGTATAATACTTCATATGTTGCTCAGCTATGTCGGCTGAGTACAGCAATACCCCCGTATGTACCTTTGCCAGGTATGTGTGGACATCGGAGGGGCACATTTGGGACACAGCCATTCCAGTTTTTTTCAAACTTTGAATTTTTATGCTGTGCCTATGTCCCATTTTAGAGTATTTTACCAGGCTATATAATCCAAATTCCCCATAAAGCCATACCATTTCTTAAAGAAGACATCCCAGGGTATTTCAAAAGGCATATTTTGAACCTTAGCGTGGGATCATTTTTCCGCTAGCTTGTACCAAGTGTAGTGGTAATAAGCATTTTTTCTGCCTTTTTGACATACAAAGTGAGTTTTGCAGCATATTTTGCAAACCTTATGTGTGCTATGACTGTATAATACTTCATATGTTGCTCAGCTATGTCGGCTGAGTACAGCAATACCCCTGTATGTACCTTTGCCAGGTATATATGGATGTTGAAGGGGTGCATTTGAGACGCAGCCATTCAGTTTTTTTCTAACTTTGAAGTTTTACGCTGTGTCCATGTTCCAATTTGGAGTAGTTTAGACGGTTGGTTATTGAAACTTCCCCACAAACACATACTATTTATTAAAGAATACACCCTGGGGTAATTCAAAAGGCATATTTTGAACCTTGGCGTGGGATAATTTTTTCTCTAGTTTGTTCCAGGTGTAGTGGTAATGAGCGTTTTTAAAATGTATTTTTTTACTTTTTATAACTTTTTTACTTTTAAAAACTAGTTTTTAAACTTTTGTTTTGCTTATAAATTTTTTTTAAACTTTCCTAAACTTTCTTAAAACTTTTTTACAGATTTAACATTTTTCTAAGCTTTTTTTTTTACCGTTAACCCCTAACTAGCAGTACGCAGCAGTAACAGTAAATTCCCCATTTTCCCATAACTCCCACCCACCCCAGCTAGCAAAATATATAGTTATAAAATATTTAAATTAATTAATTAAATAAATTGAACCCCTGAGGGTTAAAAAAATAAATAAAAGTTAATCCTCAGGGGTTAAAAAAAATTAGATCACAGTATAATACTGTGATCTCTATTTGATCGCTGTAGGCAGTGATCGACTGGCAGGGAAGGGGTTAATTTTTATTTGGACTAGGTAAAGTGTGTTTTTTTTGTTTTTTTTACTTAAATGTTATTAAAACATTTTTTTAAGCTTAATTTTTAACTTTTTAAAGTTTCTTTTAAAACTTTTTTTTAACGTTAACCCCTAGTTAGCCTAACGCCAAATCCCCCAATTCCCCACTAACTTCCACCTACCCCAGCTAGCTAAATATATAATTAAAAATAATTTAATTAATTAATTTAATTAATTTAACCCCTGAGGGTTAAAAAAAAAAAATCAGATCATAGTAAAATGTAATCCCTGCCAATTGATCACTGTAGTCAGTGATCAATTGGCAGGGAAGGGGTTAATTTTTTATTAAAATGGGTAAGGGGGGGTGACTTTAAATAAACTTTATTTTTTTTTACAGCAGGGGGCAGGATCAGCACTGATCCGGCTCCCTGCACTTCACACAGAACCCGGAAGTGCAGGGAGCCGGTAGGTGAGTATAGAGAGCACATGTGCTCGCTCAGACTTGCGGTCAGAGCGAGCACATGTGCTGGGCAGACTGACCGGGTGCTCCCGGTATGCCTTTAATGCAGAGGCATACCGGGAGCACCATTAACCCCGCGATCGCCGCGATAGCGGCGATCCGGGGTTAATTTTACCGCGTGACGGACAAGGTCCGTCACCCGTCGTTAAGGGTCTCCCCTCTGTGACGGACCTCGTCCGTCACCCGTCCTGAAGGGGTTAATGAAGATTGAAATCCATCTAATACCCCTGGATTGTTGATTCCCTCTTGATTCTCCCTCTTGTTAATGAAATGGGACTATGAGTACTCTTTTTCACTTTGCACCTTTCCCTTATTTTAAACTTCAATAGAAATGGATTTCTACACACCTGTTTTAAACCTGTTCCTTGTCGCTTCTTTCTTTCCTTTAAAGGACCACTCCACACATTCGTGTACACACAACCAATGGGGCCCCGGTGCGAAAACTGATCCGTGGGCCTCGCCCCCACCCCCACGCTTACTCTGTGGGGCCGGGGCCACAACACATGGCGGCGGGCACCTGGTCGCATGGGTTGCAGGGCTACGACCGCGGTATGTAGGCCAGTGCATGCAGATACACACACTTAAAGGACCACTACAGACACCCAGATCACATAAGCTCAATGAAGTGGTCTGGGTGTCAGGTCCTTCTAGTTTTAACCCTGCAGCTGAAAACATAGCAGTTTTAGAGAAACAGCCTCTAGTGGCTGTCTCATTGACAGCCGCTAGAGGAGCTTCTGCGATTCTCACTGTGAAAATCACAGTGAGAAGAAACTGAACGTCCATAGGAAAGCATTGAGTAATGCTTTCCTATGGACGGTTTGAATGTGCTTGCCGAGCATGCGCATTCGGAGCTGAGAGGCGGATCGGGGCGGAGACACACACACACACTCTCACGAACAGACGCATACACACTAGCTAACAGACACACACATTTACTGACAGATACACACTCAGTGACAGACATACATACACACTCACTGACAAACAGTCACATACACACTCACTTACAAAAAACACACACTCACTAACAGACACCAAACAGACTCACTAACAGATACACACAGTAACACACTAACACACACACACTCTAACACTAACACACACACACTAACACACACACACACACACTAACACAGACACTCTAAGACTAATACACACTCTAACACTAACACACACACACTAACATACACACACTAACATTAACACACAAACACACACTTTTTTTTTAAATGTAATCCCCCCAGCCTCCCTACCTTTGGGAGTGCTGAGGGGATTCCCTGGGGTCCAGTGGTGTCACCCGGCAGGCAGGCTGGCAAGCGCGCGAGGGAGCACTCTCCCCTGTGTGCTCCCTCTTCAGCTCCCTCGCGCACACCGCACTGACGTCATCTTCCGGCTCCGGTATCAGTGCGGTGCGCGAGGGAGCTGAAGAGGGAGCACTCAGGGGCGAGTGCTCCTTGGCGCGCCCGCCAACCTGCCTGCTGGGTGACACCAGGGCCAGCCTCGGGGGGGCCCTGAGGTGGCTAGCCCCTGGGCCCCCCAGGAGAAGAGGCTGGCCACAGTGGGTACATACCGCAACCCCTGCGACCCCGGTATGTACGCCACTGACTCCACACCCACAAAGCATTCAGAATGCTGTGCAGCCTCTGATAGTCTATTTATCTATGAAAAGACTGTTAGCCTCATTGGAGAAAATGGGGAGGGCTTTCAAAGGATGAAGTTCATAACGCAGCTTTTGCAAGTTCTTTTACTAAATCCCCCCCTTACTCCCCAAATAAAGCATGGAAAAACACATACATGCATTCTTTGGGGTTGCATCTAATAAACATTGATTTCTTTTCTTTTTTGCCAATTTGGGCAGTGGCATCTCCCTTTAACTTCTATCATTTCCTCATCTTCTCTCTTCCGTTACCTTTCCCCTTTCCCCTTTTCATTCCTATCCCTTCCACATAACATATAGTAAGGGGTCTACACAGACCCAGCAGTCCCCCTGCAGCAGCTCCAGCCACCCCGGACCTCCAGGGCCATGTGATCACCATGATCACATGCCCGCAATAGGAGTCTATGGAGCTGCTGCAGGGGGTCTGTCTGAGCTGTCAGGCACTCCCCCTGACTCCTAAAAGTGTAAAAAATTAAAATAAAAATATATTGTACATATATTATATATGTATAATATATTATAAAATAATTAAAGCATTTTATAATATATTATACATATATAATGCATGTATATGACTTCATTATAAGCGTACTTTGAGATATATACACATATATCTCAAAATACACTTATTATGTAATCATATATATGCATTATATATGTATAAAATATTATAAAATGCTTTAATTATTTTATAATATATTATACATATATAGGAAATACAAGTGTATGTGTATATATATATATATATATATATATATATATATATATATACTGAACAAAATTATAAACACAACACTATTGTTTTTGCCCCTATTTTTCATGAGCTGAACTCAAAAATCTAAGACTTTTTCTATGTACACAAAAGGTCTATTTCTCTATTAAATATTGTTCAAAAATCTGTCTAAATCTGTGTTAGTGAGTACTTCTCCTTTGCCAAGATAATCCATCCACCTCACAGGTGTGGCATATGAAAATGCTGATTAGACATTTTTTTTTGTATTGGACAGCCCAGAGTGCTGATATGGATTGAACAGTGTGTGTGTGTGTGTGTATATATCTATATTATTGGTATGTTCCTTTTCCTAATTCAAAATATTGGGTCGTTCAGGGTAAAAAGTTTAATTATACAGTAAGCATACTCACATGCAGACACAAACAATTTCACAGACTCATTGATACAGCTCATTAATACACATAAGCTCACTGACATAAAAACACAAGCTCATTGATACACACAAATATGCTCACTGACAGACAATCTCACTGACACACACAGACAAACTTACTGGTACACACACAAACTTAGTACAAGCTCTGACACTCACACAAGCTTACTAAAGACAAACTCATTGGTATACACACGTTCACTACAGACAAGCTCTCTGACACACATACACATGCTCACTACAGAAAAGCTCTCTGACACACATACACATGCTCACTACAGACAAGCTCACTGACACACACATGCTCATTTTAGACAAACTCACTGACACACACATGCTGACTACAGACAAGTTTACTGACACACAAATGCTCCCTCTAGACAAGCTCACTGACACACACACATGCTCACTACAGAAAAGCTCACTGACACACATACCACACACACACACACATACAAGTTCACTTACTAGCAGACACACACACACACACATGGACACACACACACACACACACACACTGAAGGCTTTTTCATAGAAGGCTGTGGGAGACAAGGAGCACTGGGAGGTGATGTCTCCATTTTCTGACCTCTTCCTTCCAGGTCAGCAACGTGTGTGCGTGGGGGGGTGCTTGATCATGGGAGTCGGGACTTGACTCTGGGAGGTGGGGCTTGAGTCCGGGGGTGGAGAATAGAGGCACCAATTGCTGAAGATTCAAGAGGGAGACTCAGAACTCCCTGCGGCCCCCTGGCAACCTAAATGCACCTCCCTCCAGCCCTAGCCCCTCCTTCCCTTCTTTCGCTTGGACTAACACAGGCTGTTACAGTCCATGGGAAAATTATTTAAATTACACATCAGGGCTTCCTGCAAGCTCCAGGTGCTGCAGTCCACCGGGAAATTCCCCGTATCCCGGAGGGCCAGTCCGGCCCTGTGGCAAACTGAAACAGGCAAGCCCTATATTGAACCTGTCACTTTCCAAAACACCATAAAACCTGTACATTGGGGTATTGTTATCATTGCTGAACACAAATATGAATTTTCAAAACAGTAAAATATGTCACAGCAATGATATTTTTAGTGGAAGTGATATTTTTTGCATTTTTCAGACACAAACAACAATTTCACTGATGATATTATTGTTGTCATACATTTTACTGCGTGACCGGGCCCTCTGTGATTATACTAATATTTGTATTCAGCGAAGTCTCATTTGTATAACAGTACCCCCCATGTACAGGTTTTATAGTGTTTTTGAAAGTTACAGGGTCAAATATTAGGCTTGATTTTGAATAATATATATATATTTTTTTTACATTGAAATTTGCCAGGTTGGTTATGTTGCCTTTGAGAGTGTATGGTCAGGGCTGGCGCATCCATTAGGCGACTTAGGCAGCCTGTCGGGTGCAAGATTCGAGTGACCCGGCACTTAGTGTAGCGTGGCTGGGTGGTGCGGATTGCGGTACAGGAGCTTCCTGTACCCGGCCGGACTGAAAGGAAGTGCTCTCTCAGTCTGGCCATGGTCTGCGTTGCCCGGCCCACTACAAAGAGGTAGGAGGCAAAACAGGGAAGGGATGGTACTAATGGGGGGGGGACCACTTAGGGACACTAGGGGAGAGACCACTAAGGGACACTGTGGGGGGGGGAGGAGAGACCACTAAGTGAAAGATGGGGGGAGGGGAGAACACTAAGGTGGGGGGGAGGAGAGACCACTAAGGGAAAGGTGGGGGGGGGAGAACTCTCAGGGACAGGGGGAGGGAGAACACTATGGGAAGAGGGGGCAGGGAGATTCCACTAAGGGCAAGGTTGGGGGGAGGGGAGGAGAGACCACTAAGGAAATGATGGGGGCTATAAGGAAGGTTAAAAAATAGAAAAAAGGAAAAAAAAAGTGGGGAGGGGAATTGAGGATGGGAGCTGATGCACAGATGAGAAATCATATTATGCGCAAACAGAGAAGTGGTCTGAATATCACCGAAAGAGGAGACCTTCGTTTGTTCCTTACGAAAATCGAACCAGATATCAAATATTTAGTCTCGCAGCATCAACCTCAAGGATCTCATTAATCACTAGTAAAGGTAATTTCAATTTACTTTATTGTTTTCTCATTAAACTTTATAAAGTTAAAAACATTATAAACATGCATTAAGTAGAAATAAAAAGATAAATGTAAGTACATTTATTTTTTTTTAAAACACCCTCCTTTCTAAAAAATATTCCCGCATTTGCACAAAAACTGGTGGGCAGTAAGGAAATTTTTCCATCAAGAAAGATGCATTAGTGGGCGGTAGGTAGAAAAAGGTTGACTACCACTGATCTACACTATTCCTCTACCTCTTAACTGCAGTTATAATCACTTATGCTCAGCTGTTGGGAAATGAATAGAAGACCGCAGTACCATAACCACTGCAGGTCTTAACACATCCCTTACACATACAAACACAGCTTTAAACAATGCATCCCTTACACACACACACACACACACCCCCACACCAGAAACACACAATGTATTCCTTGCACACAAACACACACTGCATCCCCTATACACACCCACTACATCCCTTACACAAACAGGTATCCCTATACATTCCATTTCATAAGAACACACACACATTACATCCTCTACAATAACACATAACACATCCCCTACACACATACAATCCACTCCCTGTGAGCAAACTCATGGGTGGGCCTTGTAGGCATCAGGCTTATGGGCAGGCCTTGTAGGCCCAGACTGTGATCTGTGTAAGGGGCCCCAAAAATGGAACTGCTTCCTGTTCATTGGTTTTGTGAGCACTGCCTCCAGAGAGCCTGTTTTAACACCAGACCAGTGGAGCCAGACTGCATTCTGAGCCTGTCATCATCCTCTTGTCCTCGTCTGGTGGTAAGTAGGCAATCCAGTATATTATTGGTGGCACTAATCCCTAATTTACCTCACATTAAAGGGACACTATAGTCACCAGAGCCCTCTACAGCTTAATGTAGTTGTTCTGGTGTCTATAGCCTGTCCCTGCAGACTTTTTAATGCAAACACACAGTCTTTTCAGAGAAAAGACACTGTGTGCAGCACTAGCATTGGCTCACATGGCAGATCATATGGGTGGGGCATTGTGATGGGGAGGGGCGGCAGCAAATTTTTATATTGCCTAGGGCGGCACAAATCCTTGCTCCGGCCCTATGTATGGTAGCCCAGGAATGAGAATTACCCCCATGATGGCATACCATTTGCAAAAGAAGACAACCCAAGGTATTGCAAATGGGGTATGTTCAGTCTTTTTTAGTGGCCAAAATTAGCGTTCATAATAGTTTTTGGGATTTTTAACACACAAACAAATAGAAATGCTAACTTTGGCCAGTGTTTGTGACTAAGTGGCTACTAAAAAAGACTGGACATACCCAATATTGAATAACCTGGGTTGTCTACTTTAAAAAAAATATGTACATGTGAGGTGTGATTCAGAGATCTATGACAGATAGCAGTTTTACAATGTTAAAAAAATATATATTTTGAAAAAGCAATGTCCTACTTGTACTTATAGCCCTATAACATGCAAAAAACATGTTAACATTGAGTATGTCTAAACTCAGAACAAATTTAGAAACTATTTAGCATTGGTGTTTTTTGGCGGTTGTAAACGCGTAACAGAATTTGGGGGTTAGAAAAAGTGTGTTTTTTCAAATTTGTTCATCACACTTTATAATTTCTTTTATAGTAAATTATATGATATGATGAAAATAATAGTATCTTTAGAAAGACCACTTAATGACGAGAAAAACAGTATATAATATGTGTGTGTACAGTAAATGAGTAAGAGACAAATTACAGCTAAACACAAACACCGCAGAAATGTAAAAACAGCCCTGGTCCTTAATGGTAAGAAAATTGAAAAACGTTCTGGTAACTAAGGGGTTAAATGTGCATTGGGATTTGGGATAATACGCAGGTAGCTTTTTGCTTTTGTATTTATGTACCTAGAGAAAACAATAGTTTCTTTGAAGGTCAGAATATATGAAGGGTACAAGAAAGCAGAAAAGTAGACTACAATCTAAAAATTAAAGATAAATCTGAAAAAGAAAAATGGATTATTTCAGACAGGTTTTCTCACGTATTTCTTTCTTCATACCCTGTATACAGAAAATGTCCAATGGATACAAAGTCCAGAGGACACAAAGAAGTCCCTATATGGATACTATGTATTATTCAGTATGATTAAAAAAAAATAATTTATTAGATAATGATTAAAAATATATAGCAAAACCACAACAGAAAATGAAAAAGGAAACTTAAAAATACACACAGAGTAGAGAACAGAAGCTAATAAGCTCTTTAGTAATAAGGTCCTATAGTGCTTAGCAATTATAATAGTTGGCTAACTCTTTGTGAACAAAATGTTTTCTACTCACCATAACCACTGTAAGCAAGAGTGACTTGGATCTACTTTACTTTTGTTCCTCCTAGCTATTTTCTGATAGTTGGTTAACCCCTTGTGAACAATATATGTTTCACTCACAATAACCACTTTAAGCAAGAGTGATTTTGACCTATTTAACTTTTGTTCCTCCTACCTCTAATTATAAAAAAGTTTAAGCAGCCTTCATTGCTACAGAAGTCCTTCTACCACTCTTACATTGCAGAGCTTATTAGCTTCTGTTCTCTACTCAGTGTGTATTTATGAGTTTCCTTTTTCCTTTTCTGTTGTGGTTTTGCTATATATTTTTAATTATTTTCTAATAAACTGGATTGTTTAATCATATTGAATAATACATATAGGGACTTCTTTGTGTCCTCTGGATTTTGTATCCCTTGGATTGTATACAATTTATATATGTCATAGGGTTACCCCCTTTGAAGTTCCTATACACACTGCAGGCCCTCTTTTGGAGGTCTTCTCCTTTTCTTTATACCCTACCCATAATTTTATTTTTACCTCCCTTTCAACTTTTTTCTTTTTTATCAGAATAATATTCTGTGCCACTTTTATTTTTATTTCAGCCACTCTAAATGTGGTAGTCTTTTTTTCTGACTATAGTATTCCTGCAAAAAATAGAGCAACATTGGTAGAAGAAATCTGACACCTTTTTACAACCTTTTTAGAAGAGTGTAATATATACAAACATACATAATTTTTATTTATTTTTTAGAATATTGTGATAAATCTCTCCCAGAGTACACATGGGCATTTTGCGATATGTCCAACAAATTGCCATAGATAATATAGGCCAATTACTAAAAGGTGAAATACTAATTAAAAACCTTGTATTTCCTTCTGTATTTCCCAACTTATCGCACACTTTCAAAAATGCACTTATAAGATTGTAGTGAGATATACCAAGCTATTTGAAAGCATTAGTGAAACTTCCCACAAGCCAACAGACTGGACTCAGCTAGGTAATTAAACAAACAGCCACACCCGGGAAGCACTAATTCCCCCTCCCTTTTTTTGTAAACTCCTATTTCAACTCTACTCTACACAAAGTAGAAAAAAATTAGTAGAAAAGATTTCTCATCTATTTGAAATGCTGTTCCTTTGTACCATTTAATCTCATAACTATAAATATTGCTCTTACAGGATAGACTATTTGAATTGTATTGGTTCTATGCTCAACAGACAACTTGTCTCTAACTGAATATACACAAATGCACTCACAGCAGGCAACAGTGTAGGGATCTTTACTTCCATTTCTGAACAAGCACAGAAAATGGTAACCCAGAATTCAAAATAATTTAGTCAAAGACTTTTCAGTACACATAACAGGAACAATTCTTACTTATCATAAACCATTTAGCATTAACAACAAATGGCAAATAGATTAAATATAAACACACAATACAAAATAATTAATTTAAAAAAAGTTTGATCCCAAGGAAATTCCAAAAATGATGGAGGTTAAATACTTCATGATGAACTATGAGTCACATTGACGTTAATACCTTTGATTTTAAGACATTTATTTTTATTAAACCTGGTCTTAGAATCATTGCTGAGAACCTATTTGGAATAGTTTATTGTCTGGCATTAATGGAGAAAGGTGTAAGAAGACATTTTTAGTATCCTTGTTTTATCCTACTAACATTTTGTTTTGATTCACCATTTACAAACCTGGGTTATAATTTCCTGAATTCTCATATATGTTTGCATCCCGTCAAAATAATCACCAGTTGATTATATTCATCCCTCCACCTTTTTAAAAATATGTGATATTTTGTATTTTTGCAGTGTATGAAAAATATAACATACAATTTTGAAGTACCCCAACGGCATCCCTCAAGTCAAGCATCACGTGTTACACTTGGGGTAGTCAGTTAGACATGCACTATTTTATGATATTGGGTACAGAAATCAGTGTGGAAGGAGTTAAGGCAGAGACGTAAGTCGTGTACAAGAATTGCAGAAATGAGAAACTCCTAAGCGAGTCAGCCAATAAGGGTGTGTGTTTGATCCAGCTTGATACTGCTGAACAGGTTGTTGTAAAACACGGTAAGTCAGGCTTGGTCTTCACGTGTGTACTACCGTAGTTTAAGAGAGCGAGTAATCTGAATGTTGCAGGCTGAATTTGTGTGGGTGCTTAAGTAGGAAATATAATCAGCGGAGGGACAAAGAGGGAAAAGTACAAGATACAGGCTAGGTCGCCTAATTATGTAGTTTAATAGGTTTAAACATGCAATCAGTGAGTATGCTTTGCAAAGTATAGGACATAGGGAGAGTTCTCACATTGTGTACCTAGGTATGGACTGTGAGTGGTTTAGCGGGTCAGTCCCTGTATGGTCAGCCGATGCCCTGTCTGGAGGCTGCGGTTACATGCCTGAAAGTTCCATTGGTGAGCATCCCTAGCTGCTTCTCGGTACCCTGTGTGTCCTCAGAATTATCCCAGCGTAGTCTGGATGTGGTGCCCCCCCTGCTCTGAGACTTTCTTGGAGCCATGTCCACTGTCTCACGGACTCACCGCCATCCTGGGGCCAAGTCCTTCCCCTGTGTGGGGCTGCGTAAGGCTGTACTCTGTCACTTGTGCAGGTGCCTCGCTCTCCTCCGCAGGCGTGAGTGGTGTATAGGGACTGCACCCCTTGTGGCTCTTTTCCCAGGTGGGCCAGCAGTATTGTGGAAAGCAGGTTTAGTAGTAGTTTTGCCCGGTTCAGGCCTCTTTGGCTGCACCCCTGTATTACTCCTATCAGGCACCGGAGCTCTGGCTGGTTGTCTGGCTATAGGCGGTCTGACCTTGGTACTGACCGGTGACAGTGCTGGTGGCTGTCGCCTTTCCACCAGACATCTCCAGAATTGCCTGCAGAGGTCATCAAATTTTCTCTGGAAGGCTTCTGCCCAGTAGCTGGGTGTCAGTCGCTCTTCGCGTGTAGTGGAGCCGTCGGCCATCTTGGTCAGGCCTCGTGTCTCCCAACTTTCAGTTGTGCACCTTGGAGCTATTTCAGGGTAAGTGCTCTCTCCGCTTTGGTAGACCGTGATGACCCCCACCGGTCCAGAGGTTGGGGCTGGGGACGAGGGCCCTGGATTCTGCTCGGATTGTCGCAACAGTGGGAAAGTGACTGTCTCTCCTGCGACTGCCAAGCTTGTAGGCCCCATATTGTCGTTGGGTGAGTATCGCTTGAAATGGCTCTCAAGTGGTATCATCTTGTTCAGGGCAATGTCATGTCTCGTGTGGTCACCTTATCACATCGATTTAACGCCGTTTGGGCATTGAAATTTCCTATTACTTTCTGCGTATGGTAGGAGCTGTGAAGGGTTGGTTCTTCCCAGCTCTGTGGTCAGGCCCCGCCCCATCTCCCCACCTTTGACACAGTTTAAAAAATTTCTAGATTGTTTTTCCTGTTGGTATAGTTTATTATTGTAGCAAACCCTCTACCCTGCAATAATCAAGGTTAAAACTGATTGCACTGAATTGATTTAGCAATTTATCAAAAATATTATTTATTTATAAAATATTTTACCAGGATGGATTTCTCTCGTTTTCAAGTATGTCCTGGGTCTTTGTCCACATTATACAAACTATATATATAGATATATATATAGATATATATAGATATATACACACACACACACACACACATACATACATATATAAATTTAATACATTACAGGTAATAAATATATTCAACCATGACAGGTGCATTCTGTGCTGAGGTATATTGCCATAGATCTCTTAAAAGATTTTAGATTGAATGAAGTTTTGACTGTGTCCCTGAGGTTATTCCATAATTGCGGTGCTCTGTAGGAAAATGAGGATCGAGCCACTTTATTTTTGTATTGCGGTATGCTAAATATCGTGCTAGTACTGGATTGGAGGTTATAGAAGGTGGGAACAGCTGGGGAGAACATTCTACTCAGATAGGGTGGGAGCTTCCCAGAAATGCTCTTATGCACAAGGCCGGAAAGATGAAGAGTGTGTTGAGCTTCCAGCGACAGCCAGTTTAGCTCTTTTAATTGATCACAATGGTGGGTAAAGTAATTACATTCTAGTACAAAGCGGCAGAACGAATTATATAACGTATTAAGTTTATTAAGGTGGGTTTTTGGTGCAGGTGCATACACTACATCCCCATAATTAATTACATTATCATTAGCACTTTTTGCACTGTTTGCTTACTGTAGGGCTTAGGCAGGATTTGTTTCTGTAGAGGGCACCGCGTTATGTGAAGGCCAAAAGATAGATTGGGGTCTAGCAACACCTAGATATTTAAAAGAGCAGACTGCTGTCAGTGTGCTATTTGAATTTGTTCTTATACACAATTGTTGATTTTGTAGTTTATGCAATTTAGGTGCAGTTCCAAAAATCATTGTAACAGTTTTGTCAGTGTTTAGGAAGAGTTTGTTATCCGCTAACCACTTTTCTACCTCGATGAATTGGTTTTGGAGCACAGCCTTAAGCTGCACTAGCTTGGGTTTACTAGCGTACATTACAGTGTCGTCTGCATACATGTGTTCAGTTGAGCACTGGCGTACATACCATGGTCGCAGGGGTCGCAGCTGCGACCGAGCCCGTCACCCTGGTACCTGCCATCACTATTTGCGGCCCCAGCCTGCACAGCAAACCGTCCAGAGGGTCCATTGGGTGGCCCATACTGTAAGGGCTACCCGATGGAGATGGAGTTTCAGGGGGCCTGGTCAGAGCTGGGCACTTTAACAGCGTGACCAGGCCCCCTGTGATGAGATCATCACTGCTAGGAGGAAGTGACTGCACGCCACTCCTCCCAGCTATCACTGAGAGCCCGCGCGGGAGGAAGAACAGGGAGTCAGAGTGAGAACTCTGACTCCCATCAACCTGAGCTACCACTGGACCCCAGGGAAAGTCACCCTCCACACATAAAAGGTAGGAAACAGGAGGCTGACTTAAATATTATGTGTGTGTGTGTTTGTTTTTATGTATGTATGTGTCTGTGTCTATCTGTCTGTATGTATGTCTGTCTATCTGTCTGTATGCATGTGTCTTTGTATGTATGTGTGTCTGTCTGTATGTGTGTGTTTGTATGTATGTGTCTGTCTGTCTGTTTGTATGTGTGAGTATGTATGTGTGTGTCTGTATATGTGTGTGTCTATCTGTCTCTATATATTTATGTATGTGTGCCTGTCTGTTTTTATGTATGTATGTGTGTCGTGTGTGTCTGTCTGTATGTGTGTATGTGTATGTGTGTGCCTGTCTGTCTGTATGTATGTGTGCCTGTCTGTCTGTTTGTATGTATGTATGTCTTGACTGTATGTATGTGTGCCTTGTCTGTATGTATGTGTGCCTTTCTGTTTGTACGTGTCTTTGTATGTATGTTTGTCATGTGTGTGTGCCTGTCTGTTTGTATATATGTATGTGTCTTTGTATGTATGTGTGTCTTCTGTGTGTTTGTCTTTATGTGTCTGTGTGTATGTGTGTGTCTGTCTGTATGCATATGTCTATATGTATGTGTGACTGTCTGTCTGTTTGTCTGTATGTATGTGTGTCTTGTCTGTATGTATGTGTGCCTGTCTGTCTGTCTGTTTGTATGTATGTGTCATGTGTGTATGTATGTGAATGTGTGTGTGTCTCTGTATGTATGTGTGTGTCTCTGTATGTGTGTGTGTCTGTCGGGGGGGGGGGAGGTTTAGAGGGAGGTAAGAGTAGGAGGGTGGACCCATGGATCAGTTTCGCACCAGGGCACCATGGGTTATGTGTACGCCACTGCAGTTAAGGATTTGCAAACGTTAGGCAGATCATTTATAAATATTGTGAATAGCAGGGGGCAGAGTATGGAGCCTTGGGGAACATGACTGGAAGAGGGTGGGAAGCACTATCAGAAATGGCCACATATTGCAATTTGTCTGAAACATACGATCAAAACCAGGTTAGCGGACGATCACCAATGCCTGAGTTTTTAAGTTTTGCAAAAGAATGCCATGGTCTACTGCAGGGGTCCTCAAACTCCGGCCCCCCAGATGTTGCTGAACTGCAACTCCCATGATTTTTTGAATTATATAAATAGCCAGAGAATCATGGGAGTTGTAGTTCAACAACATCTGGGGGGCCGGAGTTGAGGACTATAAATGCTTTCCTATGAGACTGGTTGAATGCATGCGCATTCAGCCGAAGAGGAGGATCAGAGGCGGAGAGGAGGAGGAGAGCTCCCCGCCCGGCGCTGGAGAAAAGGTAAGTTTAACCCCTTTCCTCTCCCCAGAGCCCGGCGGGAGTGGGACGAGTATGTTTTCCTGGCACTATAGTGGTCCTTCAAGTCCAGTTAAGTCTCCTTGTTCTATGCCAATTTGGATGTCATTGCAAACTTTTAAGAGGGCAGTCGAAGTTGAGTGATTTGGACGAAAGCCTGATTGATCAGGGGTCAGATATTTTGATTGTTGATAATATTCACATAGTTGCGTATGGATGCATTTTTCCTAGATTTTTGACAATACAGCAAGCAATGATATCGGGCGATAGTAAGATACCAAAGTATTGTCACCACTTTTTATGGATAGGTACAACTTTTGCAGCCTTCCAAAGTTTGGGTATGTATCCTGACACCAGGGATTCATTGATAAGGATAGTGACAGGTTTAGCAATTGCTGGCGCACTGAGCTTCAGCAACATTGCTGGGATTTGATCTGGTCCACACTGTATTTTTCATTTTTAAATTATTAAGATGTTTATTAACTACACAAGCAGGCACAGGTCTAAAACTGAATTTCTCTAAATGAGGATTTTGGAGATTTGGCAGGGCCTGATCGTTATTTGCGGTCTGAAAATGAGTGTCATTTGTTATCTAAGCAACCAGGGTGGTAGCACATCCAACAAAATAATTATTAAAGGCATTTGCTACATCTAGGGGGTGTTGCAATGTTTGGTTGTCCATTTTGACAGTGGAGGGTTGGGAGTGGATTGTGGGGGTTTGTATGCTATTTATGATTTTTCAGTAGTTTCTTGGGTTCGATAGGTTGTTGTTCAAATTTTCACTTAAATATTGGGCCTTTGCCATTTTTGTTTGTTTTATGCATGCATTTCGCCAATGTCTGTAAGTACAGTGATCGTTCATGGAGCCAGTACGCTTGAACTTCTAAATTTGAATGAGGTCAGCTGTAACCCAGTGCAGGTGTGTCCCTTTTAGTTGCACTTTATGCAGAGGGGCATGCAAATTCCAAACAAGCAAGAGCACGGACTGAAAAAATGCAATTGCAGAGTCTAGATCTGGTATTAGACCTAATCTGTGCCATGGTATGTTCTTGAGATCATTTAAAAAGGATTCACGATTACATTTTTTGAAAAACTTGGTGATTATAATCTTGGGTGGGGGTTTAGTGGTCTTTATTTTGCGTATGCAGTACACTAGACAGTGGTCACTGAAACTGTTATGGAGAACGCCCACCTCCTGGAGTCTGTCAGGACAACGGGAGAGAATCCAATCGAGCAAGGTATGGTTCTGGCTTTTATTTATT